ACGAATGTGTGCGGCGTTGGAAACAAATAGGGTGAGCTAGCGACTAGGAACCAGGATTACGACATTGTGATCCTTAATGAAACTTGGTTATCCAAAACCATATAAGTCGAACGATTAGCCCCTACAAACATTACCCACTACAGAACTGATAGGGAGGGGCTAGGTGGCGAGGTCCTACTGCTCGTTTGTCGGCAGTATATCCAGTGGGAAATACCTCAGCTGACACTTTGTACCCCAACAGTGCAAGCTACAGGCTGCATTGTAAGAAACAGAGGCTGACACTTTTGCATATTCAGTGTCTACAGGTCACCAAACTCCAGNCTGTCGGTAGGGGAAGCACTCGCCGATTATAGTGGGGATTCCATTCTCCCCGGAATAGAATGGTAGTGAGAAGACGAGGGTGAGGGGCAAGTAGAACATGAATTCATGAATTGCTTCCATGCGGCATCACTCTACCAGCACGTGAAAGAACCAACGCGTATCCGGCTAGGGCAGAGACCGTCTACCTTGGATCTGGTCCTCACTCGGCAAGAGAGTGAGATCAGCGACCTAAGACAGGAGGTTCCTCCAGGTAAAAATGATCACAATGTATTGTTACTAGAAACATGCATTGCGAAGGAAAAGCCACCCCGCAGGTGGGGCCGCAATTTCGGGTGAATGAAAGTAGAGGCCTTGAAGAGAGATGCTCAAGCCACAGCATCGATCCCGCAGGGAACAGAAGCGTCCGTCGATCAACGATGAGGGATAATCCGCGACCAGCTTTTAGAGCTGACGGAGAGGCATGCTCTGTTGCAGCCTCGGGGGATACCCACAAACAGCAGTCGTGGAAGCCGGCCATCAAACGCGCCATAGGGGAAGGGATTCGCAGTAGGAATGCATTTTTCCTATCAGGAGGACGTGAACGATGGCTTCCATATAAGAAGGCGAGAAACTATGCAAACAAGCTAGTAAACCAGGCGAAAATGACCCTCGAGAATAAAATCGCCAAGAGAGCGCGCCAGGAACCCGAGAGGTACTATGGCTATGTGCAATCGAAACTGCACTTAGACAATCGGTAGGCAATTTGACAACCCTTGAAGGTGGGCTGTCTGTCTCAGATTACGAAAAATATGAGCCGCTCAGGAGGTATTTCGAAACCGTCTATAAAATAGACGATGGGCGTGCGGTCCCTTGAGAGTTTTTAGACACCCCTCCAATGGGTGCTGTGGAAGTTTCAGTTAGTAGTCTTCGATGGAGGGCTTGAATGGAAACAAACCCGTTGGGAGCGACGGGCTACATCCGGCCATCATCAGACCACTAGCCCCTGTGCTTGCCACTGCGATAACCGCACTGTACCAGGAGTCCCTTAGAGCTGGGAGAGTACCTAGTGGTTCGGCGACTGCCACAGTGGTAGCCATCCACACGAGTGGAGATAGGAAGCAACCTGGTAACTGCAGACCCTTACGTTTGACCAACGTGCTGTGTAAGGGCGTAGAAACCATTGTTAGGAATGCTCTCTGTGAGCACGTCACTTGACAGGTTGATTAGCCCTGCCCAGCACGGCTTTCTCAAAAAGTGGTCGTGTCTGAGCAACCTT